TTGTATAGCGCATACCCCTGCTCAACAGCAAGCTCTATGCGCTTTACACTATAGTATTACCCCAGCAGACCCTATAACACTCAAAAATATTTTCAGCTTTCTGGAAGCATACAGTGCAAGCAGCCGATTAAGCGCTCAAACACTAACCACTAACAAACTGACTATCTTTCGCTGTGTAGGGATAAGCGCTATACAATAAATAATTAATTTTTCTCTGAAGAATTGCTCACTTTCGCTTGTTCAACATCCGGAAGGGAGTGGTGTAGTTGATAGCATGAGCCTCCAGCTCTGAGTTGCGGATGTATGGGTTCTCCATGTTTGACGCTAGTATCATGTCCTGTAGGCCAGGGTTGCTGCACTCTTGGTGAGCTGTGCACCAAAAAAAATATAAGATATATAAGATATATATAAAAAAACAAACAAAAGATAGCACACACTCATTCCACAAATCCTCTCAATATCTTAAGCACATTAATTGTCCTAAAGTTGTGAGAATATCTTTTTAAATAAAAAAAAATACCCCCCCCTCCCCCCTCCATAACTATCTATCTTTCTCTCTCTGTCTCTGTCTGTCTGTCTGTCTCTCTCAAAATTTGGAGAGAGCTCTGCATGGTGTCATCTGCTGATTCAAATTCTGTACAGTGTTTCTGTAATGAAACCTTCTTTCCACTATTTTGAATGCAGTTCTTTGAATATCTTGATAATGACTCTGAATAATATTATGATTTTGATAAAGCAGAGAGAGCATTCGGTTTCTGACCTTATGGTCTTATTTGGCACAATGATTTTATACCATTATAATCCAAGTTTCTAGATGTGTGTGTGTGTATGTGTGTGTGTGTGTGTGTGAGAGACAGGCAGACAGACAGACATGTTGTGAAACTCAAATTTTGCAAAACTAGGTAGGCTACTGATCAGAGAGATTTGTAAATCTGAAGCAGCATAAACGATGTCCGTCTCAGACAATCTAGACGGTAGCAGGAACTCACACTGCGGCATGGGCGGTACTCCCTTCAGTGTGGGTGGCCGGATGAAGGCGTAGTCCATGCGTATTGCCGAGGCACCGAGGTGCGCGCCGTGAGACTTGTAGCTGCCCACCTTGAACACGGAGCTCTCCTGGGTCGTACCCCCTTCCAGGAAGTCCGGCAGCTTCCCCAAGCTGGAGTTGACCACTACAGAGATAACCCCGTCACTAGAAGACAGGAAGGGTTTTAGTTTTTAATTTTAGTAGAGGTTTTACGGCGCTCACTACTGCATAAGGTCATATGAGCACCAGAAGATAAGAGGTGTTACAAGAGAGTAACAAACATAAAAAAGAAGGAGGAGAGATAAGGACGTTAAATGTTTGATGGGAAAGAAGAAGCAAGTCACACCAGAGCATCCGCCAACCACCCACGAAGACACGAAGGAAATAGTTTCAGGAATATATGATGTGTCACAACATGAAGGAATCAGAGACATTAAATTATTTATTTCCCACTAAACAAAGGCCTTCTTTAGCAACAACAAATGTATGGTTTCCACATATTGACCCTCAGTTGTTGTATAAAACTGAGGTGACCAAAGAGTTATATACTTTTCCTCATATACGCTAAAGGTTAACTCCTTCTCTGACCGGCTTGTCAATTTCTTCAGAACTTTTTTTGTCATATTATAGAGATTATATGAGAAACAGACAGAGTTCATTAAACACAATAGACATTTATTAGTATGTTTTGAAAATTTTGAATACGTATATTCTTTCACTTCAACACATTGTGCAAAGAGAGAGAGAAACATTTCAGAAGGGATGACAAAAATCAAGTCTGTCTGATGGTTAGAAATCAAATGAAAAACATTGAAACTTTAATCATTGTGAAGAATTGTGAAAAAGCACACAAGAAAGAATAAAAAAGGAGAAATTAAAAAATAAAACAAGATAATGGTTGTAGAAAAATTCACAACCTACTGTAATCCTGGATGAACTTTCATTTCAGAAGCACAGTGCTGTCTTGAACAAAGTCCAGTTTCTGACTTTTGGGATTATTGTTTCGCAAAATTTCAGTTTTATTTTGTATGATTCTGGGGGTTTTTTCATCTGGAATTCAGTTCTTCTTTTTCCTCGTTCTCGAGTCTGGAATTCAGTGCTTTCAAAGTGATAAATGTCAAAACAGGTGGCCGTTTTTACTGGGGATTATCTTAAACAGCTGGTCATTACAGCAGGTTCGGCTCAATACGGTTCGAAAACAAAATGAGATGTGCAAAGTACCTCGTCTCCAAAACTCCAGTCTCCTCCCACTGCTGGTTCCCCATGACCTTGACCTTGCCCGTGTGTAGCGGAGAGTCGAGGTCGACGTGAGCCACGGTGTACTCCAGCTCCAGCAGCTGTTGCCGTGGCAACGGCGTGATGTGGCAGAAGAAGCCGCCATTCTGGCTGCTGTCCCACGAGGGCTCCATCGTGTACTCCAGCAGGTTCCCCTTGGAGCATCTGAAATACAAACGAAGATCCGAACTCAGACTCTGAGGCACTTGGCCATCCCCCCCACCCCCTCACCATCAGAGAGTTTCTAATGACTAGGCTATAGCAATAAAAACCATACCATGACGAATGATAAGAGAATATAGCTAGAAAAGGACAAAGGGATAGAAATTGGGAAAAGCAATGATGAGGAACTTAAACACACTGTTGATGATATGAAATGACATTCAAATTTGACATTATGCACACTTCCTTCGGGACTCCATTTCCAGAGCGTCAGCATTAAACAATTTTTTCTTCTTGCTATCACTGAATAAAGACGCTCATGCCCCAACCCTCCCCCATCCCTCCCCATACAAAAAATGAGAACTTACTGCTCTGGCTGACATCTACGCTTGTGATAATCCTTGCAGGTTTCCGAGCAGTTCCTCTTCACACAGCAGTTGTAGCAAGTCTGGGAAACACAAAACAGAATCACACGAGTTAGTTTGTGTTAGTAACGTTTTGTTTGTTTTAGTAACGTTTTGTTTGTTTTAGTTTGTTTTAGTAACGTTTTGTTTGTTTTAGTAACGTTTTGTTTGTTTTAGTTTGTTTTAGTAACGTTTTGTTTGTTTTAGTAACGTTTTGTTTGTTTTAGTTTGTTTTAGTAACGTTTTGTTTGTTTTAGTAACGTTTTGTTTGTTTTAGTAACGTTTTGTTTGTTTTAGTAACGTTTTGTTTGTTTTAGTAACGTTTTGTTTTAGTAAGGTTTTGTTTGTTTTAGTTTGTTTTAGTAAGGTTTTGTTTGTTTTAGTAAGGTTTTGTTTGTTTTAGTAAGGTTTTGTTTGTTTTAGTTTGTTTTAGTAAGGTTTTGTTTGTGTAAGTAAGGTTTTGTTTGTTTTAGTAAGGTTTTACGGCGCTCGCAGCTGCATACCTGAGCCAGACCCTATCAGCGTAACAGCGAGTATTTTTCAATAAGTGCAAAAGAAAAAAAAAAAAGAGAATTTTACCAAAGTATACATTTTTTTTTCTAAATATAGGTTGCGTAATCGCTTGCCAATGGAAAGGTTATTTTTTCGCAAATATCTCTCTGTTACATTGATGGCAGTATTGCCATCTGTTTCCTGAACGTTTCATGTCAAAAGGATGAAAACTAAGGAATGAGTAGGAAAAAAAACTGCAAAAAAATGACATTTTGCGAAAAGCGACAGTTATTGTGAAAATTCACTATATTAACCCACCCTCATGTTTTCAAAGGCAATTTACTAGGAGAATAAAGACTTCCTCAATTGTTTCCATGCTATTTTTAGACAAAGAACAGGTTGATCTTAAAAAATCAGCCAACATTTCAATGCGCATAGCCTGATTCAAAATCAGCAAAATCAAGGGTTGCTCCTCTCCTTAAAGCATATCCTGTGAGTGTGGGTAAGTGTAAGTGAAAGTGTAGCGTACCCTGAGTCTAGGCGAGTACCCGTTGTCGTTGTCGCTGTCTGCCTCGGCAGCTACGGAGCAGGCCGGGTCGCCAGAGAGCATGTCCGTGCCACACTTCCTGGTGCACTGTTCGCACGTCCGGCTGTGTCTCTGGCACCTGGAGGGAGAGGAGAGGAGGGAGGTGAGGAGAGGAGGAGGAGAGGAGGGGGGTGAGGAAGGAGGAGAGGGCAGGGGGAAGGAGAGCAGGGAGGAGAGGGCGGGGGATGAAGGAGGAGGGAGAGGAGAGGGGGAAGTGAGGAGGGGGTGAGAAGAGGAGGGGGGTGAGGAAGGAGGAGAGGGCAGGGGGACGGAGAGCAGGGAGGAGAGGGCGGGGGAAGAAGGAGGAGGGAGGTGAGGGGAGAGGAGATGGGGGGTGGAGGGTGAAGAAGGGAGGGGAGGAGGGAGGAGAGTGGGAGGAGGGGGAAGAGGGGGGAGGTGAGGAGGGAGGTGAGCAAGGAGGAGAGGGCAAGGGGGAGGAGAGGAGCAGGAGAGGGGGAGAAGGGGGAGAGGGGGAGGAGAGGAGAGAGGAGAGGGAGGATGATTTTTGGTGCCAAATTTTTTATTTGCTAAATCAAAAGCTTGATAGTTATCCAACTTGTGCGAAAAAAAAATAAAAGTCAAACAGTGACTAGTATTTGAATAAATTAGAAATCAAATTTTGGAAGAATGCTATCTTTAAATGGTTAGCTGACCAAAAAAAAACCCTTTTTCTCGAAACTGCTGTGAATATTTTTTTAAAGGCGTTTTGTCAGCTTACGGCAGTGCGATGAACAGCACTAGAGACTGGGCTGGCTTTTGATTTTAAAATGAATGAGAAGGAGAAGGAGATAGCCAGCAGCCCATCCCAACAAGGACTACAGTTTCTAATTTTAAAGAGAGGACACCACCACTCATACACCACAACCTATCTGCTGTAAGTGGTGGGTGGTATTTTTTCTCTGTAAATAAGATAGAAGTTGAACTATCAGTATCCATTGCTATTTACTGTGATTATAATGGTAGACAAAACAACCACAAATCTAAAGTCAACCTAAATGTGTCAAAATTTGTGAAAAACATTGAGAAGATTAATGAAATTTTTTAAAATATAAACCAGTATGCACATAAAAGGGCAAATACTCTTAGATTCAGACAATAGTTTAAAAAGAAGGCTCAAATTACAACAAACTGGAAGGCTTACAATTAGTTCTGCCTGTTCGGACTTAGTTTAGATTAGTATGGGGTTTTACGGCGCTCGCAACAGCATAAGATCATATGAGCTGTTTGGACTTTTAAAAAAAGGTAACCTCGTCTATCATCACTTCATACCTCCGGCTTTTGTCCACCCACTTTGTCCGGGCGAGGAAGAAATCTTCGTTGACCTTGAACGTCTCGGACAGTGACCCCGGCTGAGAGCACAGGAAGGACTGACCCCTGTTGGGCGGTGACGGGAGAAAGTCACCGAACTGTTTGTGCGTCTCACACGCCTCCAGCGAGCCGTTCTCGTTTTGTTTGTATGTGATACCCTGTGAACATCAATGGATGAAATTGAATATCCGGATTTTTGGTGTCAGAACAATCCGTTTCTATTTTTTCAATACACTAAGATTTTTTTTAAAATATGGTACCTCCAATTCAAGATATTATACATACTCTGAAATTATCAATTTTAGAAATACTTGTGAGGAGTGTTCCCTTTTAAGCTGAAGTAAGAGACATTTGGATAAACTTTGGATTTTCGTCACAGAATCAGTAAAAAGCATCTTCAATATAACAAGCAACCTTTGGCATGGGAGGGGAACAAAATCAAAGTGGGAAAAAAAATTCTTTCCACAGATATCTACCTCATGCTTTCGGTATCTCAAAATGTAGTAGTCCGGTATGGGTGTCGGACAGTAGCGCTGGACTGGGTACGACTTGAGTACGGCCGGTGCCACAAGGTCAAGGTTGAAGGGCTGGGTCACGTTGACGGGCAGGAACTGCTGGGCGGCGTCCATGAAGTACACGGTCACCGAGACGTACAGACCAGTTCCTGGCGGGGAGAAACATATGTGTCTGTCGCTGATCCCAAAAGAATCCTTGATTTTATAAAGGCCATTGGCCTCTACAAAAAACTAAATACATATATATTTTGGTTATAACCCTATCCGTACGCCCTGGGGTCATTTTGTACCCTCGGGGTTGTGTTCTTCACATTTTAAAATACTACAAGTACAAAGATCTGTTTGAAACTTTCAGCATTTCTCAAAAAATCATGTTGGCAGACTGCTATGCAAAGCGTACGGATCGGATTTTTTAGATTGTTATTTTACCTCATGTAAATGCAACCAACTCGAAGTTTCCTGCGCTCATATGACCTAATGCAGTTGCAAGTGCCATAAAACGTTTACTAAAAAAACCCAAAAACAAACATAATACGGCAGCATGGTTCAACTACCACAGAGAAGATAAAGGTACCACTTCACACACAATGGACAGACTGAGAGAAGCTGGTTTCTCAAGAGGGTCGGGGAGAGACAGCAACCTGCGTGGAAAAGCTAGAAGAATATCCAACCAGCTGATAACTGGCACGATCAGCAAGCAGACCCTGTCATGGATCCTGGAGAGGAGGGAGGAGCAGCTATGGCATTGTGCCGCCTGCAGTCATGCCTGTTCTTCAACCAAGTAAGTGAGAAAGAAACACGATGTTAAGGGGCGGTGCTAGTTTAAGACCAAAAGTGCCAAGCCCCCCACCCATCCTTTCTCTTTTATTTATCAGGAATAATTACATCACTTAACATTGCACTTTAATAGACTGTACATGTTTTTTCCAGTTTCACAAAAACCCTCCTAATACGTGTCCAATACCCACATTCAAAAATGAACATGTGTGACATCTCTGACTGCTAAAAAAACAAAAAAACAGTGACGAAATGTTTGTAAAATTGCACTGTATTGGTGCTATATCGTATATTTGGTATCATTTGCATGTATGTTTCTTTGTTTAATTAGTTTAATTCAGTTTGTTAGTGTTTGAGCGCTTAATCAGCTGCTTGTACTGTATGCTTCCAGGGAAGCTGAGAATTTCTGAGTGTTCTATGGCCAGCAGGGATAATAACATAGTGTAAAGAGCAGAGAGCTTGCTGTTGAGCAGGGGTATGCGCCATACAAATACTAATTAGTATTATTTCATAATGTATGTATGTTTGCCATGTTATCGAAATTTCCACATGGGGATCGATAAATTTATTTATCGATCTATTTCACACTGTCATCAACATAATACTGAGAGACAGAGCGCGACCTCAGTGCTTTCTTGTCATATCTCCATTTTTAATAACAGTGAAAACAGTACATAACAAAGAGTGAGCTTAAGAATAAGTCACATTTTCACTGTTTTAAAAAATGGAGATACGACAACAAAGCACTGAGGCCGCGAGAGCTTACCTCGGTAGAGCTTGTACCGACTGAACCCGACATAATGCGCCGGCAGCTTGTCTAGCTGAGCCACATCGTCACGGACTCGACCCCGGTCCTCCAGGATCACGTTCTTCGAAGTCTTCGGGGCCGGCAGCTCCGTCGAGTCTGGTCAATCAAGATGAGAGAATTTCATCACGATCATATCACATGGGAGAGCATTCTTTTCTGCTGGGATTTTTTTAGTAAGAGTGTTGCGGCACTTGCAACACAATAAGGTTATATAAGTGCCGAAGATTATAGATGTGTTACAAGAGAGTAACAAACACAAAAAAGTAGGAGCAGAGATCAGGACGATAGATGGTTGATAGGAAAGTAGAAGCAAACCACACCAGAACACCCCCCAACCACCTAGTGGAAAGCATTCTGTGTGTGTGTGTGTGTGTGTGTGTGTGTGTGTGTGTGTGAATGGGTGGGGGGGGGAATGCTGCCAAGAGCTGCAATAAGGAGCTAATAAATAATATTATTAATTTATACATTTCACTACATACACCAAACTGAGATCCTTGGCTCTAAAAGGAAAAAAAAATTATCCGGTAAAATAGAAATAATCGTCATTTCTAAAATAAACGTTCCTTACAAACACTCTTTTCTTCTTTTTTGTAAACAAGATACATCACCCTCTAAAAGGTGCATCCTACAATTTTTTTAAGATGAAAACAAATTAAGAGTGTGCTTTGTAAACTAAACAAATAGGAAGTACAGCTTTTTTCGACAATTCGACTGTAAATGTCGCCACTGGAGCTTTTGTTAATGTTTAGTTTCGAATCTCAGACAGAAGAAACCAACAAATAAGATCATCTATGGTGGGACAAATAAGACTATCTGTGAAAGGAGAAACCAATGAATAAGACATTTTGCTACAGAGAAGAAACTAATAAATGAAACATTCTGTGACAGGAAAAACCAATAAATAAGACATTCGGTGACTGGAAAAAGTAGTAAATAAGACATTCTGTGACAGGAAAAAGTAATAAATGAGACAATTTGAGACAGGAGAAAGTAATAAATAAGACAATCTGTGACAGGAGAAACTAACAAATAAGACATTCTGTGACTGGAGAAATAATAATGAGACAATCTGCGCCAGAGAAGAAAAGAAATAATAAGACAGTCTGTGACAGGACTTACTGGTACACTCTCTGTCGTGGAGGTTGGTACACTGGCGAGACTCGAACTCCCACGGCTCGCACGGACTTCGACACACTGAGGAATATAGTCAGTCATATTGTTAACTAATGCAGGTCTTCTTTTTTTAATCAACACTGTCATAAAATATCATGTATCCTTCCGCTCCCAATCCCCCCAAGAAAAAAAATAAATATAAAAATAGTTTTAAAAGTTAAAGTATTTTAAAAATTATACTTAAAAAGTAAACCGATTGATGATTTGATCTCATATCCTCAAAAAAAAAAGAATATAAAAACGTAATATATTTGAGACTTATGCCACATTCAGCATAGTCAGCCTCCGTGTGTGTGGGGGGAGGGGATGTGTGTATGTGCGGGGGAGGGGGTGTGAAGGCAACTCAAAGCTCATCCCCAATAAGGCTGAGCTGATTTAGCAAGGAACCATGAAAACTACAACTCCTTCATTTAATAACACAAGTCTAGACAGAGCTGCACAATAGTAGCAACCAGCAATGGCATGGTTGTGAAATTGTTTTGTAGGCTATTGCTGTAATATTGTGTATTTTTTGGTGTATATGTGTATGTATTTATGTCATGTATGTGATTATAATTATGTATGAGTTGTGTGTATAATTGTCGTCTTTTCCTGATTGTTTTTATCAGTGAGCGTCCCACGTGGGGTTCATCAAGTACTGCTGATTTGATATCTTTTCCTTCCAAGATATTCTCTGCAGTCTCCGAAGAAACCACATTTCTGTTGCTTCACACAATGTAGTGTATAGATAATAGAGAAAGAAGGGGGGGGGGGGGGGCGCTCTGTTTTTATCCTTCCTTCGGGACAAATTTGGCCAGAGCGGAGAGTGAGATGTGGTACCCCAGCAAAAAGACAGTGATACTTCCAGAACTTATTTCTAAACATGGGAATCAATCAAACTACTGTGTTAATTTGAAACAGTGAAGAGTCACACAGGACAGGCTTCGCTGAAGAAATGTTGCTGATGGCCTATGCTGCCACTGGGAGTTAAAAAGTGCAAGAGGGAGGGAGAGAGAGAGAGAGAGAGAAAGAGAGAGAGAGAGAGAGAGAGAGAGAGAGAGAGAGATAGAAAGAGAGAGAGAGAGAGAGAGAGAGAGAGAGAGAGAGAGAGAGAAAGAGAGAAAGAGAGAGAGAAAGAGAGAAAGAGAGAGAGAGAGAGAGAGAGAGAAAGAGAGAAAGAGAGAGAGAAAGAGAGAAAGAGAGAGAGAGAGAGAGAAGAGACACACAATTACACCCCAGAAGAACATCAGCTGACACTTCACAGGCAAACTGAAGGCAATCAAGATGGACAAATGTGTGTACTTCAAAACGTATGACGGCGTTCTAGTCTTCACATTATTCTTAAAAAAATAAATGTGTGCATTTGGTTTGGTAAAAGTCTTACGGCACTCTCAGCTGCATAAACAAATTATTAATGTTAGAATCAGAATTCTGCAAATAAACTTCAACATCAAAAGGTGCTGAATCATGGCTTGCCTTTTCTGCAAGTTAAACTATTAAATTCAATGAGTGAAAATGAGAAAAATAAACTGGGATACTTTTTTGTACGAAAAGTACATACAACGTTACTGCCCAAGATACTACTAAGAAGCCGGTGCATCATGGCTGAAGCTCATGCAAAGTCAATTTAAAAATACAACAAAATGTGTTGATGTGCAACTGTCAGCTGTGTACTTATGTCGTTGTGTTTGTGTGTGCGTGAGCCATTGTGTACATGTGTGTGTACGTGAGGCGTATGTGTGTGCATACGTGAGTCGGGTTTGTGCGTACATAGGCGTATGTGTGTGAGCATGTGTGTGCGTACGTGAGTCGTGTGAACTGAAGCATGGCCATGTGCTGAAACAACAATGCGTGTGAATTTGTCTCACTGTGTAAAATCACGAATTCCTCAATTGAGAAAAGAAAAAAAGAAAATGGACCCAACAACAAAACCAGAGGCATACAGGGAAGAAAATCAAACCAAGGCACTAAACTCATGCTGTTTCAAAACATCAAAATGCTGCAGCAGAAAACAAAAATTTGCATTTCCCAAAACGCGACAAAAAATAAGAACAAAAGTGAATTGCAATTGGCGACAAAAAGATGAAAAAGAAAGAGTATTTGAAACCATAAACCTTTTAGCGAGCACAGAATTATTTATAAAGACGGTAATTGATTTCATCTATACACAACATAAAATATAATCTACATGATCAGATTTCAGTACAATGCAATGTTTGATACACCCCACAATCCGACTCAAACAAGCTCAAGGCTTGACTTCAGGCACAAAGGTCAAATTTGTACCGGGAATTTTACGTGAAATTTCCAGCTTGGGCAGCATTTAAAAAAAATTAATTCTGCGATCAACTACAACCTCTATGCGTTCATTCAAGTCAAAAACATTCTTCATTTTCAGGAAAAGGAACAATAAATTGTTTTAAAATCGTACTAATGACGGAGCTTGTTAATTACTTAAATGACCCTTACGAGTCTATGCCTCTCTATATTGAAGCAGGATGGAGCTTCAATCACAATGTCATACACACATACATGTGAGTCTACACTATAAATTACTTTTGTCAGGCTGTCTTTACCTCAAAAACATTGTCTTTTTTAACGTGGAATTTGGCAGAAGCCACCATATATGGTCATAAAATAAAACATAAGAGAGGGAAAAAAAGTAAAATTTCATCTGAACATTTCATTAATCTCTGACCTTTGCATTTTCCTCTTCTACATTAATCAAACACATCACACATATATCAGAAAACGTTACATACGCACGTATGTACGTAGAGAAGAAACATTTACCTCGACACAGATCTTTTTTGTTTGCTGAGCAGGCACGGGCCATATAGTAGCCGGGTCGACAGATCAAGGAGCACGCTGAAACAACAGGAGAATGATGGCATCTCTGGGGATGGGAGGCCGCACACAGACACACGGACAGCGCACACAGACAAGAGCACACATAGACACACACATACACAGACAACAGGAGAAAGAAGGAATCTCTGGGTGGACTGCCTCACTTAGCACACACAGACACAGACAGAGCACACGCAGACAAAACACATAAAGACAGACACACACACAGCACACACAGACTAAACACACACAGACAAAACACACACAGCGCACACAGACAAAACACGTCAAGGCGTCAAGGGGTCACCCACTTACCCAAGCCAGGTCATAACACATTGTACAGATTCTGTACCAGTACACAGGAGCAGGATCAGAGAGACGTAGGGATGACAAAACATGGAGACAAGGAAGTCAGCGACATGTGTATACGGCAGAGTGCACAGCTGACTTTTCAAGAACATGTTACCTTAGTACTTCACATCCACCACTGAGGGTCTGGCATATGATCTAGGATTTCAAGCAGATTGACAGAGACCGTAACTTGTGGATTTTAAAACTGTCATTCACACAAAAAAGATATCTTGAAAAGGGGAAAACACTAAGAATTTCCAATGTTTAATAAACACAAAACACATTTTTTCAGCACTTGTCACCTGACCTTTTTTACCCATAGTACTTGCCATAAAGGAAAATATGAACAGAACATAGCAGTACCAAACTCTAACTCTTCCCTACCGACACAATACGCTTGCACTTCAACACTAGACCTTTTCAGTCGTCGTTTGTTCATGAAAGAATCTAGACTACTCACTGTAGAATAAGACCATTTACCAGCATACCAACTGTCCTAATCTTTCATGAATGAAAAAAAAAGTAAAAAGACAAGAAGGATTACGGGCAAAAATCAATTTTTTTCAAACTCCTGCAATGAAAAGACATAAACACCAAAATGATGGCTAAAAACGCAATGAAAAAATAAGAAGAATTTGTTAAATTATTTAACGCAAATCAACAACAACAAAAAAAAATATCTCAACAAATCCTCAAGTTGAAAGAACAAACTGAAAAGAATGTTAAAAGCAAACACGACAAGTCACACTTTGATCGTCCAAGTCCCTGACTGAACAGACAGATATATGTACCATAAGATGGGAAAAAGATCCAACATTACAAGACCACCTATTTCGTTGTCTTCCCCCAGAACCAGTACAGGAAACTGTACAAGAAACTGTATTCATTCTACTTTGGAAAAGAAAAACAAACAAACAAATCCAAAAGAACAGATTGAAGCAAAACTTGATCAACTTGTTCAGGAGATGAAAAGTAAAGACAAAACCATCAAACAAAATGTGACAAAAAAACCTCCGCACTCATTAGGCCCAAACAGGACACGCTGCTACGTCTACAAAATCCTCAGAATTTCATGCCCTGAAATAAATCAGATCCGTACGTAAAAAAAAAAAAACCAAAATAAATAAATTGAAAAATCTCAAAACAGAAAAAAAGCATATCAGCATGAACAGATGAAAAATCGCAAAATGAAATTATTGTCTGTAACCCAAACTGCTCTACATGACAAGAAACCAAGACAGCACAAAAAAAAGACTATAGATCAAATAAATACCAACAGAAATGTGGGGTTGAGGATGCACTATGAGCGTGGTACGTAGAATGCAGCCGATCACACATAAAATCTACGGTATGCAAATAATAATGACCAAAAAAAATGCGTAGATATATATATGATGTGGTAGCCGTGGTCCCACCTACCTTCACAAGCTTTCGGCTTTTCCTTGGTGCAAGGCCACACCTCGTAGTGGTTCTCGGGGCACGGTTCGGAGCATTCTGCGCAACAAAGTCACGAACATTTTGAATGATTGTGAATCTTTTAGTTTGTGTCAAGCGCCAGCAGGCATGAGTGAAGGAAAGAGAAGAAAAATAACATAATACAAGGTATGTTGTTCATTAAATTATTGTCCACATCAAAGGCCCAGCATATCGTTTTTACTATGACAAAACAGAGATGAAGACAAACGAATAGAGTCAACAGGAGCAACATATGGGGCATCCATAAACAGCCCACAAGTTCTACCTGTAAATAGTGTAGCGACAGTAGGTTACCAGTACAGCAAGCGTGCACACACTTAGTATTTAATACAAAACTTGCACCTTCAAATGTACAGCATTTCATACAACTCAGTAAAACCAGCCGCTTGAACATTCCATCAAGTGAATACTTAATGTATAAAACCTTTCATAAAATATCCTAACCTCTAAAACATGAAATATATCCCAAATTCTTAGAAATTCCATTAAGTTTACTTATCTGCATAATCTTCTCTCTTCACTCACTTCTATATAATATTACATAAATCCATACATAGCAACACTCATAATTTCCCTAATTATTTCATGTAGGCAGCAAGTGAAAGGAAAAGATGAGACATTACACAAAAAAACCCAAAAAACAAACCAAAGTCAAAATCAATGAAAGAGCTTATTTGTAGTCGTATATCCCCTAACAGCTAGCTCACATGGCTTCACAATGGCTCTCTTGATCACAACCTGTTAATACCAAATCACTATTCTGATCTAAAGAGGAACACACAGAGTTTCAACGTGTCAGAACCATACCACTATCACTCATACATAAAGAAAAACAACCTTAGGCATATTAATAGTAAGAAAGTAAAAGTGCATTTCCATACACTATCCAGATAGAAAAAGACTACTTAAATCTCTGGTATCCAACAATTTAATGACTATTTCACAAGGATCACCAACAATCTCAGCACCACTTACCTCTGCAGGTTTTGCCAAAGCTGTAGAAATCCTCACCACAAATACAATCATACGAGCCTTTGCGGTTGTAACATCCTGCGGCAGAATTACACTTGAACTTGGCCTCCATACATTCGTTGACATCTGGGTTAAACGTGCAGCAGAGAGAAAGGAACATGAAAAAGTGTACTCATATAACTGCCAATGCTTCAAAACTGAAAAAAACCACAACCAGACTCTACCTATTGGGCGGTAATACTTTTCCTCATGTACAAAAGGGGCTTGTTTTACACTTTTCTTTCCCACTTACTAGATGGAGTCAGGGAAGCATTAACAACTCATGGTATCCCCCTGACCCAAGCTCTCCGGCTGGTGGCAGAGAGACGTCTCTTCCCGCGACACCCAAAAGGGTAAAAGCGGCAGATAAAAGTAAAAGTAAAGTAAAGTCTTTCCCACTTACCCCGATGAACCCAAGTGCACACACCTCAGTGTGACTTCAATAACCCTTCTCCGTACTGAACATACGCACTTTGCGTAGAGTCGTGTGTATCTGTTAAGCAGTCAGTGCACTGAGGCTCAGGTGCAAGCTCAAAGGGTTAAACGAGAACACACCATCATTGTAATAATAATACATGTAATAGTATTTGTTTTGCATATTGATATATTCCCACTCCACAGCAAGCTCTAATTTTTGTACTTTACAATCTACATCAGTACTCCAGCAGACCATAGAACACCCAGAAACATTCTCGGCCTCCCGGAAAGCATACAGTGCAATCAGCTAATTAAGCGCTCAAACACTAGAAAACTGACAAACTCTTTCACGTTGTCTATAGCTGGGTTCCCGTTTCCACCTGGGAGAAACGAAGAAAACTTACGTAAAGTACCTTTCCCAAGGACACAACATTGCGCCCCTGACAAGGATCGAACTCCCAACTTTTAGGTTGTGAGCTCAACAGTCTAACCACTAGACCCCCC